CGCTGTCCACAGCCACCTGGGCCGGGGGAGGTGAGTCTGGGGGAGTCAGGAGAGTCTGGGGGAGTCAGGACCCCGCTCACACGCCAGAGCCCTGCTGGGCCCTGTGGCCCGACCTGCGCCCGGCTGCCCTCTGCTGAGTCTGGGGGGCTCCTGGGCTTGCTGTTGCCACAGGGCGGAGGGGCATGGCCAGGTGGGCTGGCCAGGCGTGTCCAGGGCCGGACAGCTCGGGGAGGAGGGGTGAGCTCGGCCCCCGCCTCGGGGCGATCCGCGGCCTCAGGAGCAGCCTGAAGTCTGCAGCGTCTGGCAGCTCGCGCTTCTCCCTCTGGCACCGGACAGCGTGGCCTCGTCCCGGCCAGCGCCCGCCCCTTCTGGCCCGCGGCTGGCTGACTGTCCGTTGCGTTTGGAAAGACCATGTGAAACGCATTTAAATCTTAGAACTTTCTCTTAAGCAAAAATAAAGTTCCAGCCAATCTCGCCAGCTTTATTTATAGCATTTTACTTCCTGCAGGAAGCCGGGAAGGGGTCGGCGGCTGGCTCCTCCCCGCCGGGCGGGGCGCGGGGATGGGCCGCGGCTGAGAGGGCCAGAGGGCACTTCTGCGCTCCGCGGACGGCTGCAGCTCGCGGCAGCCCAGGGCACAGGCTCGGCGCCCTCCGTCCGGGCGCGGGGATGGGCAGGGGCGGGGTGTCCCTGCCCGGGACCGCCCTGCGGGGAGGGGCGGGGGAGGTCGGGGGGAGAGGAAGCCAGAGCCACTTCCTGGCCTCGGCAGGACCCTTTCCTGAGGGCCGCCCCCTCGGGTCGCCCGGCGGGACGCGCGCCTCGCCCGGGCGGGGCGGCCCCTGCTTCACCCACTCCCCAGGGACAGCTGGAGTGCCCGGGGCCTGAAGTCCCCGCCCGGCCCTGCTCGCCCACCCGCCCCCCTCTCCCCAAAGAATCAATAGATTCTCAGCACCCCCAGAAAAGGCAGTGGGGGCTGGAGCTGGCTCAGACACTGGCGGGTGAGGGGGTGCCCCAGATTCCCAGACCTTGCAGATGGCTTCAGAGCCTCCCCATGGGCCACCTTCTGTCAGGGTCCCCTCCTTCTCCTGTCTAGGGACTTGGCCTCTGGGGCTGGGGGGGGGGGTGCAGACTGCTGGTGGGGAGAGGCCAGGCAGTGCACAGCCCAGCAGAAGTGTCCTGAGAAGAGTCTGAACCAGGATGCGTCTCTCCTCAGGGTCTGTGCCCTGGCCCCAGGCGGAGCCACCCAGGTCACCATGAGAGAGACCTTCGAGGCCCTCAGCTCCCTGGGTGAGCAGAACTGAAGGAACTTGGGGGGAGGCAGGAGTAGGAAGACTCAAAACATTCCACCCGCTGCTCCCACTGTCAGAAGGTAGAGGTGTCCCCGCTAGGCTGCAGAGAGACCCCTGGGAGCCCTCCTGCTGTGGTCACCAGGTGTCCGAGGACCCGCCCGGCCCCGGGGTGGGGGGCGACGTTGTGCCAGGCTGTGCCAGCGCCTCCCTGCAGGGCCCCAACTTCCAGGCGCTCCTCTCTTCACCTCTGTCCTTGCCTGGCACCGAGGGCTGAGCTCGTCCCCCTGCCAGAGCGCCTTCCTTCCTTCCGGAGCGAGCTGGGGCTGCTGGCCTGGGCCAGGGAGGGGAGGCGCCCCTCTGCTCCCCGGTTCTGTACACATACTTCACTCGGTCCCTTCCTTCTGCCTGGGACAGGATTCTCCGTGGGACAGTCAGAGATGGCCCCCCAAAGCGAGCCTGGGGAAGCGTCCCAGAATGCCCAGCCACGGGTGTTCCCCCCCAGGGAGGAGAGAGCACCCGGCTTGTGCTCGGGTAAGTAAGTGGGGACCATGGACAGTGGCTCTGGCTGGCATCCTCCTCCCCCCCCCCATTCAGCACTGTGCGCCTGCCAGGCGCCTGCTGCCTCCTGGGTAGCTGGGCCTGGGCTCCCGAGGACGAGGACGGGCCTCCACAGGCTGGCGGGGGCAGGTGAGCCAAGTGCCGGAGCGGGCACGGGAGAGGCGCCGAGGGCCTGCAGAGGGGGCTGGGCAGGCCCAGGAGGCAGCGGGGGGCCAGGAGCCCCTCGGTGGGAACAGACATGAGCAAGAGCTGAGGAGGTAGCAGGGCAGACGCCGGGGGAGGTGCCTGGGCCCCCTTCTGCCTTCTCCTCCAAGGGCGTCTCCAGGCCTCCTCAGCTCTCCCAAGCCTCAGGGCCGGCCGGCCTTGCTCACACACACTCCAGAAACTCCTCAGGGTGCAGCTCAGCCTGCAGGGCACCTGGGGCAGTGGGATTCAGCCCCTGCAGGTGTGGGGTGGGCCCTGCCCTGGGCCGGAACTGGGGTTCCAGACACCCCAGGTCCTAGCACGGGGACCACCGTCCTCGCGTGACGTCTCCTGGGGTATTTCTTTTCCGCCAGGGTGCCAGGGCCCCCCGCCCGAGGAAGGCAGCCACGCGGAACAAGCCGAGGCTCCCTGTGGGGGGGGCCAGGCGCACACCCCGCGGAAGGCAGAGGCCACAGACCCAGGCTGCTGCCCAGGTGAGTGCCCTCCTCCCACCCACCCCCGTGGGGCCAGGTGGAGGGACCAGGTCCCCTGCAAGCTCCAGGCTGCTGAGGGGCTGAGGGGGGCGGAGGCCTGCGTGAGTGGCACCTGCACCTCAAAGGAGGCACCCACCTACCTGACTCAGCAAACCTGCCCGTCTCATGGCGAGCTGCGTATCTAATAGGGAACAGCTGCGGCGTCTCTGACAGGGCCTGTCCTCCCGGCCAGCGAGGTGGCCACTGGGCCTGCACCTTCCTGCTGGAGCGCTCACAGGCATGAGCAGAGGCCGTGCACCGAGAAGAGCACGTCGCCCCAGACCCACTCCGAGTGCCGAGTCCCTGCCGCCGGGCTCGGGCCAGGCACGTCGTGCTGACCACTCCCTGGTACCTAGATGCTCCGGCCCTGTTGCGCTGGACTCGGCTTCCCCACCTCGGGGTCACCAGGCAGAGGGCTCTCCCCGCCGTCCCCCCTTCCTTCCAGGACCTGCCCTGACCGTTGACTCCTCAGGGCTCAGGTTAGTGCCTCCCGGCTCCAGGCTGTGTCAGGTGGGAGACGCAGCCCAGGATTTCGGACCTTTCTATGAACCTTTGACTTACGGCACTTCCATGTTGAGAGACCTCGCTGGCTCCCTCCCGGCCAGGGGCCTCCTTTGTTCCCTGTGCAGGTGACTCAGCTCCTGGGCATTGTGCAGGTTATTAGGCATCTAAGTAGAGCACAACACGTGCCCTCGAGGAGCTGAAACCGCTGAGATGGGCCTGATGGGAACAAGGGTCACGCATCGAGGGGACAGATGACCAGAAAGCCGCCCCCCGGTCAGTGCAGGGGGTGCGTGTGAGGCCCTGCGTGTTTCGGGCTGGCCAAGGACTGCTCGTCTGCACTTTGGGAGGTGTAGACTGCGGCCGTGGTGGGGGCGAGGGGCGGCCAGGCGGGGAGACATTGTCGACTGGAGAGAGTAAGCAGGAAAGCTGAGGGACCAGGGTGAGAGACCCGCCTGGGGCGGACCGAGGAAGGAGGGTCAGCCCCAACTGACCGCAGCCAGCAGATGATAGGGAGCTTCGGCTGGCTCGTGAGTGGACAGTGGCACGTGGGAGGAAAGCAGTATCCGCTGCGCTGACTCGTTCGGAGTGGACGGGGCAGGGAAGGAACCGCGTATGTGGAGGGAGCGCGTGGCTCCATGGCCAGAGCTCGGGGGGCCCTGGGAGAGCCACGCGGGAGCCACGGCTCGGGGTCGGTGGCTCTCAAACAAGCCACTTGGAGGCTTCGAGGGCGAGAACAGATGCCCGGGCCCCGCCGGGGGGAGCCGGTGCCGCGTTCCCCAGGAGGCGGGCGGGCGCGTCACCCAGCCACGCGCAGCCGCGGCCCACGAGAGCTGAAGTCATTGCGCCAGCGCCATGCTGCTGGCGGGACCCAGTGCGGCCCCGCCTGGGCCCCGAGCACCTCCGCCTGGCCAGGCCATTGCAGTGCCCCAGAGAGCGAGGCCCAGGGGGCCACCTCTCGCCTGCTCCCTCGGGGGTCCTCCTGCTTCTCCCAGGTCCCCCAGACCCTGTAAACAGCCGTCCTCTTCCTAAATAGAGCCCCGCCTGGCTGTGGGGGCGGGGCGAAGGGTGCCGAGGCAGGGAGAGCCTTCGAGAGCCAGCGGGCAGCAGTGCCCGTCTCGGGCGGGGCTGTGCGATGGGCGTGTGCTGGGGTTCCAAGGCCAGCAGCCGGAGGGAGGCGGACGTGGACGTCAGCGTGGCAGGTGCAGGCCGTCTCCTGTCTGCTGGGCTGTGTCCAGTTTGCAGGACACCCAAAGGTGGCGGTGAGACGTGCCAGAAAGGGGCCCGCCCGACTAGATGTGGGATGACGGCCGTGGGCTCGTGAGCCCAGCGTGATGCCAGAGCTGAGCGCCCACCCGGGGCCCTTCTCTGGCGCAGGGGCTCTGAGCCACAGGCAAATGGGGGAGAAAGGCCACTGGAGGGGGCTCCCCCCACCCAGCCTGCCGAGAGGCAGGGGGAGGACTGAGCAGGGCCTTGGGACTTGGCCACTCCCAGGAAGCTGCAGTGGCCGGTGGGCAGAAGCCTGACACGGGCTGCAGGCCCCTGAGGCGACCGCGGGGCTTAGT